ATTTTTATGAGTTTCGTTTATCATATTGCATTTTTCCCTGTATGTTTCACCACTTTATGCTTGCAAAACTTGCAGCCCGTAGAAGGCCACTGTTTATAGAGTAAAGGCACTTATATGATTGTCCTCTGGAAGTTGTTAAAATTGTCCTCATATCTTCTTGTGAGCTTGGTCTGAAACTGGTGATGTTGACTGCACACAGGAGAAGACAAATATGTTGTTTTTGTATCAGGGTTGAGTGTTGGGAGCAGCTCTTCTGACCCTCTCCAATTTCAGCTTCTTGTAGATCACATAACAGGACATCTGGGAGATGAGAAGGTATGTATAGTTTACTTCTGCCTTTCCTTTCAACTATTTATATGTGATGCTTTATCTAGTCTTACCTCTATGCATAATTGAATAGGAACAAAGTGTTGCAGCTCAAATAGTTCAAGTCGTAATTGCTGGGAATTCTGTTGAAGTTCCTCGTGGACTTCTTAATGGTCAGGTAACACATTTCCTGTCTCCTCTCTGGACATTTCACTAATGTTCCATCCAGTTCTGTTATTTGTGTCGCTGAGTTTTGACTACGAAAAATAGCTGTTTTTTAAGTCCTTTTGCAATTAAGTAGTGAAGAATTTTTTTCCATTTCTGCAAATGGATTAAAATTGCAGACCACACGTTCAGTTTGCCAGCATTTCCAGTCCCCTTTATAACTGATGTTGTCACTTCCTCTGTTATTGACGTGATAGCTACCATCGCATGCACATTCACACCCATCTCGTAAGGGCAGCCCAGTACACAAGGGGCAAATCCTTGTGAGATCTGGACATGGTTAGATGCACGGATCTTTACCCCGTGTGTTGAGATGTTATTTCCATGAGTCGAAAGTGTTAGATGTAAATAGATTTATCCCTGTGTGTGGTGATGTTATTCTTGTGACTCGAACCCAGGTCAAATGGATCAACCTTGCTGTTATAGGCCCTTCCTCCTGTATTACCTTTCAGTAATCACTACCTCCCTTATCATTGCCAATTTGTATGTCATCAGCGTGATATCTGCAGTGATTTCCTTTTCACCACCATAAACAGTACCATATAATCATAAATTTGTAACCATCAGTGGTGTCAGGCTCCTATCACTAGGACCCCCACGACACCAACCTACCTTCAACATTTTGTCACTGCCGCTATAAAGAGTGCTACCACCATACTATCATTCTATGATGCTTTCCCTCCCTCCTCTATTCCTTGCAAGACCCATGCTGACTGCTTCCAATTTCAATGTTTTGTCATGTTCTATTCAAGGTCGAAATGGATTAATATTCTTTTGGTTAATTGAAATTGTTTGATTCTTATTCAATGTGTTTCAAATTGTTAAAAGTATGAAATCTTAGCACATGAAAATCATCGCTTTCCTTCAATGGGCAGAATTTGGCTTCAAAGGATCAGTCTAGACTGTCTGAACCAATTAAAGAGCTGGATATCTTGTTAACTCAGGTACTTCAGATATTCTGTTACGCGCTTGATATTAGTGTGAGAATCAAGATTTTTATATTTGTAATTTTGTGCAGATTGCTGCAAGTGTACCCGTGGATATCATGCCAGGACCCAAGGACCCGGCAAATTTCTCCTTGCCACAGCAGGTTTCTTTCACATTCTGTTTTTATTGATTTGGTTCTTTCACAAACTTGAATGTATATTTCTTCTAAAGCATTTGATCATTCTAGTCTTCGTTTATCTTTCAGCCTTTGCATAGATGCCTATTCCCTGGGTCAGCAGCTTATAACATTTTTAGGTCTTGCACTAATCCTCACTCCTTTGAGCTTGATGATGTCAGGTAAGATACGTAATGTAACTATATGGACTCGCTGGAATTGGGGGTTTATTGACATGGTGATTTTGGTCTTCAGATTTCTTGGAACATCAGGTCAGAACATTGATGACCTTGAGAAGTATTCAGAAGCAAATGATAAGCTTGAATTTTGGAAAGGACATTGAGATGGAGGCATCTAGCACCAACAGCACCAAATACCCTCGGTAAAAGTCATAACTTATGCATCCTGCTCTATGTTTATCTGTTTCTGTGGCTTGTAGCATTTTTGTGTGGCCTAACAGCTGATCATTTCTTGTTACTGAAGGAGGAATGTATCCTTAGTTCAGAGGAATTAGAAAAATGATTGATTCAATTTGACCTTCATATTGTTTTTGAATGTTTTGTTCTTTGGTTAAACTAACTTTTCTACCTTCTTTTGTACAGGATGTTATCCTTTCACTGATAAGGATCCTTTCTTCATTGAGATCTGTCCTCATGTTTATTTTGTTGGTAATCAGGACAAATATGAGACTCGCTTAATAAAAGGTACTTTTCATGACTGCTGACTTATCTGCTGGAATATGATTTTCCCTAAATATTCTATTGCAACAAATTGTAATCGGTAATCCTTCAGTGCAGGATCAGAGGGCCAACTAGTAAGGCTCATTTGCATTCCAAGATTTGGTGAGACAGGAGTTGCTGTGGTGGTAAGCTTTTGTACTTTCTCAGCCTGTTCACAAGTTAGAAGTACTCAGGACTGAAAAAAACCGATCATGTGGACATTTGAACATGCATGTGCGTATGACTTTGCAAGTGTACAGCTCAAAACAAAGCGATGTTTAGTTTCAAAGATTAGTAGGTGATACTGATGTGATTCCCCCTTCAATTTCAAAAAATAAAAATCTACTTAATTCATCCTTGAATAAGAATAAATTAGACCATCCTTTTGCCCACTCACATCGTTGACCACTCACTCTCCACCATCATCCTCACATTCCTCTATGTATAAATATACCTGTGTGTGAGAGAGAGAGAGAGGGTCAAAACCCGTGTGACCCTGCCCTCCTATTCCAAAACCCCCATGGCTAAGCTGTCTCTCTCACCTTTGGCATCTGTTCAATTCTCTGTTCCTTGATGATCAAATTGAAATCCAACTTACGGAAATAACACACTCGAACAAAGGTGGTGGTCCCCATGCCTGGATTCAAAGACACAAAAACTGCTGGCAACATGACTGAGTTCAAGGCCCCGTGGATAGGTATATGTTTATTTCAGCCACACACCCATGACTGGGTTCGAGTCCAAATCTAAAAGCTCCCCCTTTCACTTTATATGTTTATTTTGGCCACACACCCTTGAAGAAATAGTGCTTGATATCAGCAGTTGTGTCAATGACATTTTTCATACATTTTTAAGTTCTGTTTTTCTGGCTGTCATACAGTTGAATACAAGAAATCTTGAATGCCATGCGCTCAGTTTTGGAACTCAATTTGGCACATAACTACAAGGTATGGGGCTGTTGTGTTAATTCCCCGAATTTTGTTTGCTTTACAAAGAATTAAACTTTAAAAATATAATATTGGAGAGGTGGAATTGTTTATGTCCCCACTGATTAGATTTTTGCCTTAATCAAAGAACTTTTCAATAATCTGAGATTACATGGTTTGTTCATGTAGGTAGTAGGTAATAAAGTTGATTGTGATGTGATATTCATTATTTCGAAATCAAAATAGATGAGATGAAGAAGGAAAGAGTGAAAGATATTAATTTCTATAAAATCGTCTTCCAGTTATTTGGGATTTGGTACATGTCTTTTTTGCCATTTTGCTTCGTCTAGGGTGAATGAATAAATGCATCTAAACTTCATGCCATGAAATGATATTAATCTCCAACTACCAGAAAAACTTAAGCTGCTGTTCGCAAACGGGCTGAGAAATGTATATCAAGCTCTTAATACTGGTCACCCACTCTTGGATCAATATTTTATCAAGTTTTTGCATCTTGATTCAACATGATTTTACTTCATGGGTAAATTTGAAAATAGAATTTGGTTGAATTTCATCTAGGGTGAATAAAAGGTATGTATATTTGACAGGTAGTTTACCATCTGAAAAGGCCAGTTCATTGTAGAAGCTTAGAACACAGATTATGGAAGTGTCTTTTTCATATTGTGGTCTTAGATGTTCATGTTAAAAAGCTTTGAATCGAGAAGCAGGCTTTGATGCACTTGTTTACATTGGCAGCCATCTTTGTGGGGATTCACTCGGAGGAAGCCGGAGAGATGCAACTTCCGGTGGATGGCTGCCAATGCCCTTTCAATTCCAGGGCTATTTATACGAATGGCTTCAATTTTCATGGGCAAACAGCTAACTAACTTGGGCTTGTAAATCGCAATCCAACTTGAAATATTTAGTGTTTGATAGAGATTTCAAGTTGGTTAATACTTGGATATTCGAGATTCAAGCTAAATTAGTGAATTTGTACTCGAGTTTCCGTCTGAATTTAGTAACCCAGAAGCAACCTTGAATTTTAGCTTTCATGGTGTAAGCCGAGAATTTTTAGGTTGAGCTGAATTAAATCTTAATTACAATCTTGAATTGAACTCATGTCGAAGTTTTATAACATACCCTTGAGGTTATGTGGGTGGGGTATCAATTGTCAGCAGCAATATGGGTGGCGCGTTCTCTTCTCAGCTGTCACCGCAAACTGCCAAAATAGAGCCATTTTTAGTATTTTAAACAGGAGAGAATATCATTTTGCGACCCAAAAGATTCAAAAATTTTCAATTTATACAATTAAATTTTTTATATTATATCTTCAATGTTTTAAAGGTATTGCAAAATAATACTTTTGTCAACTTTCATTGTTTTTTTTCAAAAATTATCTCATTGACGTTGACATAATAAGTAACGAAACTTAACAAAATGATTTTATTTCAAGACTTTTAATACATTAAGGTTAATTATTAAAAAAATTAATTTTTGAGGGTATAAAATAAAAAAATTAAAATTTTTCAGGGTGCAAAGTGAAATTTGCCCTTTAAACAGAGTTATTGTACTTCATTGCTCTTCCCAACGGCTATATTTTCCATTCTTACATTATTCAAATCATTCGCCACCGCCCCTAACGGTCCATCACCCTTCGAACTCCCCCTCTTACATATTCTTAGTGCAAGTTCTCTCTCTCTCTCTCTCTCTCTGTTTTGTACAATGGAAAATGCTGCTAAAGTTCAGCATGTGAGTAAAGCATCTTCAGATGAACTGCTGAGAAAATTTGCCGAAGTGGGTTCTGAGTCTGATGGAAAGGGTTTGGCTAAGAAAGAGTTACGATTGTCGAAACGTCGGAAAAGGACCGGAACAACAAATGAAGGTGATCATTGCGAGAGTCCATCAAATGGTAGTACCACCTTGGTGGAGAGGAAGTCACTTCTCCCTCCGGCAACTCGGAGGAGATCGGTGGCAATAATTCGGCGCCTTGGGATTGGCAGCTTCAAGCTCAGAGCAAGAGATCTACAGAACAAGTCCATTATGCGAACGATTGAGAAGGTAAGATCGTACGCATTAATTTTGATTTATATCCTCAAAAGTTATAATTTTTATTTGCTCGGTGAACTATTAATTTAAATTATCAAGTCCCAGAATTTCCAATCATCTGTTAATTGTATAGCTATGTTACAAAATGAAAAGTGTCATGTGAGCATGACGTGTCCTATGATTATGGCACGTGACAACCACATAATGTCTTTTTGGTTACAATTGTAAATGAATTTAGATAGTCAGACTTACTTGAAATACGTCTTAAAATTAGGCCACTTAATTCTTTCAATTGCTTGTTCATGGATTAAATAGAAACTAGGGGCAGATTTTAAGAGTATAACGATAACTTAACCTTATAAATCCGAGCCCATCATTTAGAAGATATTTTTCTTTTTCCCCATTATAATAAGCATCATGATGAAGCACTGCCATATTACAATAATGCTAGGGTGTCCAAGTAAAAACCCAACTTTTATGAGCGGCTCATGTCAATTTGATGAAGTTTAAAGCAGAAACATTAAATGGAATTTTTTTTAATTTTTAGTATTATTTTAAAAAAAAAATTATTTATTTTTAATTTTCTATGAGAAACAAAAGAATGATATTTTAATATTGTTGAAAAAGATATTTTAATTTTAAGATTATTTTTTTTATCGAAGAGAGAGAGAGAGAGAGGGAAAGTTGATAGGAGTAAATATAAGTTGACTTTTGAATATTTTTTTATTTTCTTAATTTTTATGTTTTTAATGTTATGAATTCGATTATAAACCTAAATTATTGCAATAAAAATTTTGATTAAATTTAATTTTTTTGGGCTTTTTTATATGGCCTAAAATCTAATAAATTTAATTTTTTTGTGAATTAATAATGTACCTAAAATTATGAAACCTTTACTCATTCGAGAAAACGACAAATCTTCGGACCATTGGGCACCACGAATGGTTTGAAGCTTTAGCATTTTCTTGAACGAGTAAAGAAAGATATGAAGCTTGAATGGAAGAAAGGGCAAAGGGTTAAAATGGTTTTAATCGGATGGAACCCACTTAAGTAACATGGCAAGTGCGATGTCATTTAGACAGCAAATGTTGAGTTTTTATTTTGGGCGGCTAGCATTATTGGCCATACTAACCGCTATAAATCAAATATCTCATCTTTCAAAGAACCCAAACACTAGCAGGGCACCACCATTACCATCACAATCACATCCTTGAATTATAATTTGATTTGTATGTGACATGATCTAATCATAATTTTCTATATAACAACAACAACAACAATAATAATTTATTATATATATATATATATATATTCTTTATTATTGTCGACAATGCTATGCTCTTTAAAACGCTCCAAAAACATGGCCCTAAAAATGATTATAAGCTCTAATATTTCCTTGAAATACCAAGTGACATGACCTTCATATATCTTCTTGTCTCCATTCTTGTGCAGACATGGCGTAAAACCATGGAAGGAGCTTCAAGGGTCTTACTGGAAAAGCATTACAATCGGCACAAACGCTTGATAAATGACATTGCTTAGGCCAAGTTTATCACTCAAAGGGGAAAAGGCTAGGCCCCTTGGCATTAGCATCTCACAGACTCAAACAATTCATTTATGTGTTTGTTTGTTATCTACATCGAAATAATAATAATAATAATGTGTTGTTAGTTGTTATAAAATCTATTCCTGACCCCTAAAGTTTACTTTATTGGAGATGGCATTTCATTATCTTTTTTTGGGTATTTTGATTAGGGATATCGGCGTTTATCTCTCAAGGAGGAATTTCTTCAGTTGAACTGAACTGAACTTGATTACTTCCTTGTGGAGAACATTAGAGCTTTTGCTAGACACCTAGATCTTATGCTTTCATGCAAGTCAAGAGCCCTTAATATAGTTGTTCACTGGGTGGCAGCAGTGGCGTTATCCGATTCTCTTGCTATGACCTAGGTTAACTGTCCCCGGTAGAGTTTAAGGTTTTATTCTTGTCAAATTGTAATTAACATTTTCCTACTTAAATGAATTTACAATCAATTAGCTCAAAAAAAGTGTCAACGTGATGGGCCCATAAGACATTTTTTGGTCTTGACCTAAGTTCTAATGTTTGATAGTTTTACAGTTAATTCAAATGTTATAGTGAATTAAATCAATAAATTAATTTAATAAATTTGATCTCAATAATATAATACATTAAAAAAAACATGTTTTAAATATGCATATAGGTCGCTCTACATATCCGTTAGTTCTTCAACACCACACAACTATGTATAAAAAATCATATCTCACTTATATTGGGATCGAAACTAAAGTCTTATCACGTGCTCGTGTTACGCAGGAGTTCGCGAAGCATGCTGTGGCGCCCTCCAATCGACTGTGCCCACGTATTAATTAGTACCGTCAAATAAACGCTGATTACTGAATGGTGCAAAGTGCAACAGCTATACCTATACAGCTTCTTTAATTAATTCAACTGTACCACGGCCATACTTATGGATTTAGATGGTGCAGGTGAACAGAACAGTAGACTAGTGAAAAGGTTTGCATTATGAATCAGTTCACGGGTCACTTGTGCTGTACACAATTACTTTCAACCACATTAATTTTTTCATTTATCCAAAACCATAGTAATGGCCCACTTAGTTGCTGCCACCTCACAACCCTAAAAGTGCAACCAATATGTACCCAAAAAGAAAATTGTTATTTAGATATATAAAGTAATTTTATTTAAATTTAAAAATCAGACATAATTTCAATATTTAATGGGACCCATAATCAATCTAAAAGTCATAATAAATTAGATCAATAAATTAAGTATCAATAGCATTACTCTTCGATTTAATTTCGGGACTTAATTTAATATAATAATTGAATTAAAGTTAAGTTTCATCTAACACTGAAAGTCGCAACTAATATAATGACTTAAATCTTTGATTGTATTATGAGAATCGTGTAGTTAGTAGAGAAGTCTACGGTCGTGGAAAAAAATCAGTATCGTATTGTCATTTACAAGTTTTATTGGTTTTTTGTACAAAATATAATGGTTATTTATAATTTTTAAGATCAATTGCAAGTAACCCTCAAAATGTGTAAATGATCCCTCAAAAGTCGTAGCTTTGATCATAAAAGTTGTAATATGATCCCACAAATCATACATTTTTTTGTTGTAAATAAACCCAAAAAAATTATATTTCAACCTATAAAACTTGTAAATTTTTGCGATATGTCCCTTTTTTTTTTTACTATAGTCTTCTCTATAGTTAGTATTCAACAACATCATTTGCGTTGGGATTTGGATTAGGAGTTCGCACAATTAATAATAACTCTATAATCTTATAATTCTCATCGTGCTATTGTATTTGAGTTCAACTTATGTTAAAGCTTGATCCAACTTCAAAAGATTCAAATGCTTGGATTGCCACCATTAAGAATCAATTACTAAAATACGGCACTTTTTAAACAAAAAAACCAAAGTACGGCATTTTTAAAATTATTTACTAATTTACAATAGTTTTTTGAAAGCGGAATTGTTGATAAAAGCGGAATCAACAAAATCGCTTTTAATACTTACAAAAATGCATTTCTCCCTTTTTATTGTATCACTTGTTGAAAACGGAATCAACAATTTCGCTTTCACCATGAAAGCGGAATCAACAATTCTATTTTTACAAATTACTATAGATCAATGAATAAGTTTAAAAATATTGTATTTTGATGTTTTTGTTTGAAAAGTTTCGAATTTTAGTAATTGATTCAATTAAACAACTCAACTACGGCATGGTTTTACAACTAGTTTTTATGATAAACCTATGATGTATTTGATCACGTGGGCATAATGTTGAGGTGTAGCTTTCATGATTGACTTTGATAGTTTCTAGTTACAGGTAGATGCTTGAGCACATCAAATGTTGTCGAGTATAGATGAAGATTTCATGCAACCACAACCACCTTGTGTGTCTCTTATTAGACAAAAGGCAAAATTTGTAGGGCCTTGAGTGAGGATTTGCACTGACTTGGTCTATATGTTTAGGCCGATAATCGAACGAGTTTCAACTAAGTCTATTGAGTTTATTTTTTTAAACAAATTTGAAAAATTGTTCAATTTTGACTAGCGACGGAATCTAAACAAGTCCAAAACAAACTGAATTCGAATAGATCGGTTCAATTATCACCCTTAATAACATGTTTATAGAAAATAAAAACTCTCAAGGTTTTTTCTATTCTTTTTCCTTTTATTAAAATAGTTTCTTTTACTGTATTAATAGTAAAACCCGCTTTAATACAATGGGTTTTACGAGAATTTATTTTCAATAATTTGATATTAAAATAATTGAGAAAGATAAAAAATGTATCGAAATAAATCTGAATATCCTACACAATAAACAATGGGCGCCAATTTTAGGGATTTCTTGTCTTCCATAGAACTTGATCACAAATCCCTTTATTCCCTTGTTTGTGAACTCCTTCAACACCAAACGTTTCTCTTGGACTTTACTTAAAGGATATGTTTCTCTCACACCTCCCTACACGTGTATAAAATCTGATAATAAAGACGAATTGTAAATTTAAAAATTTTGAATTTAAATTTTAACAATTTTTTAGAGTCAAGTCATGAGATATTATCTCTCATAATTCTAATTTCTAGTGTGAATGGTCTGTTTTTAACTGATATTGAGGAATAGTCAAAGTACTCATAAACTAACTCCAACATCTTTAATTGTTAAACCAAAAAAAAAAGTATTTTCCCATTTCACTTTCATTGGTCTTAATTTATGGAGAGAATATTTCACATTTGGAAAGATTTCAAAATTTTTACTTTTTATCCTTAAAAATTAAATTTATTATATTATATCCTTAATATATTAAAAATGTTGAAATATGTCTCTTCCATTAGTTTCCCTTTCTTGTTCCATCAAAACTATGTCATTGACATTGACGAAGTGAATAACAAAAATTGAAACGAAGTCCATATTATAACAATTTTAATATATTAAGGGTATAAATATAAAAAATTTAATCTTTAAGTATCCAAAATAAAAAATTTTAAATCATTCACGATGTAAAGTGCAATTCGCCCTAATTTATTGTTTCTCTTGCCACCACTTTTCAAATACAATTAATTTATCTTTCTTTCCCAGCAAAAAATATATATATTATCTTTTTTAAGGCTTAATGCTATAAATCAAATTAAAAATTAGCAAGGGTTTTGCACAAATACACGGTTACAACACGCAGTTGACCCTCCACTAATTAACATTATAAAATTTTTTAGTTATTTTATTGGAAGAAACCAAAATGTGTTCATCTTTATAAAATTGTGTAAACATTAGGAATATTAATTTATTAGTAATAAAATATAAAGAATGATTTATAAAGTAAGGTTTTACTTAATGTTCTCATATATAAATATCTTAATAATAGATTTATAAATTAAAGTCTTCTTGTATACTCTGCACGCTAAAGGGTATGTTTAATCGAATAATTCCACCAAACTCTTCTAGTCAACTCCACATTGGTGTATGCGTTTTTGTTCTTGACCCATATATTTATATAATAAAGTAATTAAGAGTTTGAATTTTATCTTCATATTTTTTTCGTTCGTTTTTTATGGCATCACCTAGTTCTATTACGAGTTAAATTATTTAATTTTTTATATTTTATGGTTCAATATAATTTGTATTTTAAACATTGTTCATATAGGATAATGTACATATGTTGTTATTTTGTTTAAGGTGATGTATTTTTAGAAGAAAAAAAATTAATTTTATTAAAAAAATAATGGATAAAAATTAATTTTAAGTTATGTAATTAAATAAAATTTGTTATTTGATAGAAATAGTATAATTTTTTTTGGATACGTTGCATTGGCTTTCGAGGCTAGTATATGCATATGTATGTATGTAATTTCGAATAGACAGATCAATTGTTCACCATCTC